AACCGAAGAGTCAATTAGCCTTGGGAAGGCAATAAGTACTCTTGGAGTAAGCGGATTGCGATCCGCTAACTCATGCTTGCTTCTTGTAAAGAACAAAAGGTCGGTGACTTAAAGTACGCTTCTGCAAGCGCTAAGATCCCCATTAGATAGTCACCTCGAAAAAAGATACGACGCAGTGCTCGCTATGTAAAATATTCAGATGTATGAATGTGTAAGCACATTTGTATGCACGTGTATATGAGACGATTCGGCAAAAGGTTCCTTGCCACAGACGCCTGTGGCCAGTCTGCAATCTCTAAAAGAATGTTGGTTCTTCATCAGCAAAGATTGTTTAAGTATTCTTCTGGAAACAGATCACTGTTGTCTCGTAAAAGAGCTAATTTCACTACTGCCAGTCACACTAATGTGAGCAAAGATACAAACTTGTCAGGATCATCTACTTGAATGCTTTAACTGTAGCAATGGCCTCGGGATGAGTCTCTCGTGAGATTAGCATATGAAGAAACATTCACAACAGCACAATGGTCAAACGAAACAGGTCATCACCATGTCATCTGTGCACATGCGCCGAATTGACTGCTTCCACTTATTTTGTTTGTGCTGAACAATGTTGTAACGGTTCTATAAGCTTCAGGCAGTTCTATCTAAAAAACTTGTATCCCATTCTGTTCGTGAATTCACATCATGAAGTCCAGCCACGCATTGTGTGTCCAGTGGGTTAGTTCTGCAATACAACAAGAATTGAATATGATAGAATTTGGAGAGTTGCAACCGTATATTTTGATATATCGGAAATTGCGCTCGCAAACTCATTTGAATGCTATACATGCGTTTGATGTTACACTGAACGTAGTGGCAATTCCTCTGGTGACGTCACCATCGCTAAATGCAGAAATTTATGACTATCACGCAAAAGCATAATCACACCACGTTTAGCCACCTCGGTATATAGTGTACTTGAAAGAAATACCAAAAGATTGATATCCATCTCCACATCCTTACGAACGATGCAGCGGGGTTGCGATGCCACGAAGTGGCCTCGGCTTTGATGGAGAAGAATTCGTTGTGATAATTAAAACAGGTAATAGATCTTCCCAATAAAATTCTTTTCGGAGCAGACCTGGGGTGCCATGTCTCGAATGTTGGTGCTTTGGCTGATAGATAAGATGTGCAAGTATTTTGTGTGCGCCTGTAGCAAAAGTACGTCTCGTTTTTTTTAATTTTTGCCACACATTCGTATTGCCAGCAATGTCTAGTTCGAGAGGCAGACAACACACCACATGATTTGTTGTCGACGGAAAAGCTTAATCTACCCTGCTATTTCCAGCACATGTACTGTCTACAGTCTATCGTGTAATTTTGCTACATCTAACCGTTTATGATGCTTTCTCAATAAAGCATCATTTAAACAGAATCTCGTTACATCTGACTATTTGGCGAACAGCTTATCAAAGCCATACGCTTGATCACAGCTTTTAAGTGTTTGATATGTTTGTTTGATCCGATCTCACGCGATCAATCGGATCATAGATATGTACACCATCATGGAAGTTTGTGCATATGCAGGATGCGACCTAGACAGTTGGATCATTGCCCGATTGATTGTCGTTAGTTCATTCGATATATCTTGATAACGAGCTACACTTATAGCATCACGTTCCAAACGTCTACTGTTGGAAGGAGGTATAAACCTCATGTCCACGAGTAATACATAAAACTAGTCGACTACTCCAAAAAGCGTTTTTCAAAATACACAAAAAAGGTACTGCTTTCTTTCAAATATTTGGCAGTTTTCAGAAATCAGCGATTCATTTAGCTTTAACTTGTTGACAATCAAGTACTTGGTGCTAATCTTCTTAACAGAGAAAGCACGATCCAAATGAAGAGACTTGCACTATTGTAAGTCCGTTGGATATTACAAGGTAGCTGATCCGCACACGGCACTCTATGTGTTTCGGGTGTTCTTCCAACTCATCTAGTTAAAATGAAATTACTTTTGACACATCCATATAGACGATATGACAGCTGTTACGGAACGGTGATTGCATAGAGAGCGGTCGAGGTCATAATAACGCAATCCGGATCTCCTTGTACTGCTCACTCACGACTGTATATAATACGAAGCCACAAATCTGTGAGGATTCGATGCTTTTACGATGGAAACATCACTCGATGCTGCCGACTTAACTGTACCATTTTGCCGAGCCATGGATGATGCATTCTCTATAACACATATCATATTCAGGCATTGTTATTAGTCGCCTTTCCTTACAGTGGAGCCACAAATCCAGGATACTTATAGACGTCTTTTAGAAAACTTCTAGCTACAGTGACATGAGATCGCCTACATCTGTCCTAACAAGATATTTTTAAAGGCCGCGACTTAAATCCGCCCAGTCCATCTGGGCATTGAAGTCTCTAAACAATATTGTTGCAAGTCCCGTCCCGTAGTAATTTTTTTATCGGAGCCGTGCCGACGACAAAGATTTGCTGACTTTAAACAGAGGCAAGTTGATGACTCGTTAAAGCGCCACTCCAAGAGAAGCGAAAGACACTTACTGTCTCAATTTGCAGTCAAACCATGGCTCGTGGCGCTCCAGCCGACCAAACTTGAATTAGTGTAATAGTCTTAATTCACTTCCAATGTCAGGCAGCATATCGCGTTACTAAAGTACTAGAACGTCATAGTAAGTCTCTAAAGTCCCTTCTGCTCTGCGTTATTCTACGCAAAATCATGTCGCTTCAGCACCACAGTCGCTCTCCGCGAATGCCGTAGATAACTTTCTTTACCAAGCATTGTACGATCACATTGCGGATGTTCCCCTTTCTAAATGCGGCGGTACTGCTGGCCAGTTTACCAATACCCTCCGGATGTTGGCAGTCCATGAGTATGGACTATGTGTTTGGCCTGCTGAAGGACTCGGCTGGCAACACGGGTGTGTTGTTTTTTTGGACCGTTAGTTGATTTGGTACGAAAGCCAGCTTATCACAAACCGAATTTGATCTTGACACTGAGTAGACAAATACCATCGAAATGTGGACGTTAAGATGTGATAGTAGAAGCATCACCCTTAGGTTATGCCTCGAATTTGTGCAATGTATTAAATTAGATGCGTAACGCTACGGCTGAGAGCCAGGATGCTCATAGGCAACATGCTGATACCAAAGGCACACAAGACATTTAGTTATATGAACTGGGACTTAAGTTTTATATAACTGAACTATCTACTCATGCAGCTAAATAATTATGCAATCGCGCTAATCGAGCCGTCTACGGTTTTTAGTAATATGAAAAATATCGGTTTATGCACTTAGCGAGCATATCCCGTGTTGTACGCGGGTTTATTACTGCGTTCATACTCAAAAATGGTGCCAAACACATCAGACAAAGCTTGCATTAATCTCGCTGCGGAGCGCGGATTTCAATATGTTCCAAAGAATACTGGCAAGATTTGTCGGCAATAATCTTTTCGAGGAACATCTTTACTACATCCGTACCGGTAATGGTATATTATGCCGCATAAAATTTGTTACTATACTTAGACGCATCAGAAAAAAGGCCACTTTGCTAGTATTACCGAATGAATCTTTTGAAGACTACAATTGTAGTGCATACTTATGGACTGTTACCACTCTGTCTGCACCGGCGGACGTGCAAAGGCAGTAGTGACACATGCGGCGAGGGATCAGCTTGCTGACAAATTGCACATTTGTGTCATTCCAGATTGCCAAACTAGCCGACAATACATAGTGTTCAACGAGCGATATACATTTCGTATTAGAGGCGTCCATTCAACAGGTTATCATGCGTCTAGATCAGTGCTATTTTATGATATCCACAATATGAGGGACCACTGCGCACTGGAAGTCGTGGCGATAAATGCTGTAGTATCTCCAAGACAAAGGGTAAAGTGTAACAGGGTTATACTAATCCTGGTATGAAGGAATAAGTCACACAAGATGATGTGATGGTACAAAGGTGTGAATTACACAAATCGGTATAGTCACACAATGGTATAAATAGACCGTAACAAGAAGCCATTACGTGGCGGGACTGCCAGTAGTTATGCATATAAATCATTTTTATTAATAAATTAGGAAAACCTATGGATTTAAATATAAGCCCTATACCAAGAAGTACACTTTCAATTTTTTACCGAGGAGTTCAGTTACCTTAACCACAATTGCACCTTGCTGGTTTTTGTAAAGAACGTAAGGTCGGTGTCTTAGCTGAGCTTTTTCTAAGCAAAGAGCTACGGCAGCCCCGCTGCACTAGGTAGCCTTCGTAGTCAATATATGCCTGATTCACGAGCAATAGCGCGTGGCGGTAGCTATCTCCAAGCTCCAGGGCCGAGCGCGAGAATGGGCACTAACGTGCGGTGTTTCGATTATCGCGTGAAATCGCGTTTACTTGCTGCCCGACAGGGCAAGAAGGAGTTGATGCTTTTTGTCCAAGGATTGGGAACTCTAATTGCCGGGATGGCAGTCGATCCCTTCATCGAGGATGACGCAGACCGTCTTTGTTGAGGGCCTCCTCACTGGCGCAGCCAAAATGGTAATCTTCTGTGTGCATCCGTCTTTTTTAAAGAAGCGGTGATGGTGGCATTCAATGCTGAATTCAAATTCAAATCGACACGAAATGGTTGGAATGCATTTGTCGAGCGGGCCTGAGCCAACAGATCGCAGCTATGCTGCGAAGGGGGAGAAAGAGCTCCGAGCTGCTGAGCAGCGTGTAAGCACTCGAGTGTTTTGTTTTTGGAAACACCCGCCACCCTTGAACGGGATCTCCCTTGTGCAGAGCTTCGAAAGGATTGTCGAGCCGACGTTCGCTTCTATTAAGTCAGGTTTTGCTGGGAAACGAAAGCGCCCAGTAGGCGCTGGGCACCCTGCTGGGGTAGAACTTAATTCTGTTGAGCCTCAAACGACGCCGAGTGAGTGTTCCCACTGGTCTCAATGAGACGTAAAACCTCTATTGACAGGAGACGGCGAAGCCTTATGTTATTTGCAAGGCGCACAACGAACCAAGTGTGTGTCTACCGTAGGCGATAGCGCAAAGCTATATACCCTTGTCAACGGTGTGACGGCAAAGTATGACAGCGACGTCACCGTTGACGCTATTTTTGCGGTGGATGCTTTTCTTGAGCTTAACGAGATGTCTTCGAATATTTTGGCGGCGTCTTGAAGGCAGGCGATTCGGCCGAGGTGGCCATTATGAGACCGAACGAGGAGATGAACTTGTCGTCGCTTCTTGATAAATGTTTCCTGGAGAACACTAAGAGGGTGCTAAATGCAGGAAATTAATCGTCGATGCTGAAGGATTCCTCGAATCAGTACCAATATTTGGAAAAGGAATTTCAAGACGCCGTCTCCAGAGTCCCGCCGTTGGTCCTACCTCCGGACCGAGGTGTGCATCATGAGATTGACCTTGTTCTGGGAGCCGAATACTGTATAACACGTCAATGGCTCCTGTCCAAGATGCAGTGTGACGTCATTGACGACTTCTTTCGTGCAAAGCATGAGGCAGGAATTGAGCATGAGAGCAAGTTTCTCCATTCGACACCCACGTCTAGTGTCCAAAAGCCGAACGGCAAGTGGCGTATCGTTCACGCTTATAATAAGCTAAACGCTGCCATCATTCCGGCACAGACGCCAATTCCTAGAAAGGATGTCTTTCAGAACAATACGGTTGGCTGTACAAAGTACGGTTCACTCAATTTAGCTGAAAATTTTCACCAACTGCTCATGAGAGCGGTGATATTTCGCTGACAGCGGTGAGTACTCCAAGCCGGATGCTCTGGGAGTAGCTAGTGATACCCTAAGGGCTGTCAAATGCAAAAGCAACATTTGATCGTCGTGTGACGCAGTTGTTCAGGCCCCATCAGGCGTATAATCAGATATATCTTCGTCTACAGTCGTGCGGGACACGGGAAGATAGATGAGAGAAAACCACATCGCTCATTTAAATGTCAATAAGTGCATCTTTGGCGCGGACGGAATCCCCATCTTAGGGTGCTTGATTGGTAAGCGTGGCATTCGAGCGAAACCCGCTAAGGGCAAGGTTATTATGAAATGGACAATTCCAAAGATCAAAAAGGGCTAAGTGCTTGGCCACGCCAACTACTTGCACACGTATAGCGCAAACTATGCGAAAGTGGCATGGCCAGTGTCGAATCTCCCAAAGACGGACACGAATGGACTCGAAACACAGAGATCAGTAGGCTCTTGACCGGGTTCAGGACAGTTTCCTTCATGCACCAATACTGGTGTTGCCAGACACCGATCGCTCTTTAGTGTTGTTTGTGACGTTTTGGACTTCTAATCGGCTTTGCACTTTTGCAAGCAAACACTGAGGGGTGAGATAGTGTGATCGCATTCGAATCTCGCCAGCTTGAGGCTGCGGATAGGAACTACCCATTCCACGACAAATAATTACTTGCGATGAAGTAGGCACTTGTCAAGTTCAGGGTGCCCCTGCTTATCTCAAAGCTTTTTGTGTTTTTACACTATTTAAACTGATCATGCGTCATTCCGCACTTTTACTCAGTTGCCTTACCTCTCGCAGAGGATGGACAGGTAGCTTTCATTCTTTGCAGATAATATCTTTGACGTGAAGTATAAGCCAGGAGAGCAGAATGTTCTGGCTGTTGCGTTGTCAAGCAGACTGACCTATGAGCTTGCCTATGTCACGACGGTGACGTCGTCGGATTTGATGCGCGCCGCATACGCGGGTGATAGTATATGTGAAGTGCTGCTACAAACTCCCGAAAGCGAGGAGTGTGGAAACTCGGACTAGAAATTGTCGGCGCGTTTACGCGCACGGTTACACTGATATTTGTAGAATGATGGGTTGCTGTCTTAGCCCCGATTCGTCGGAAACGTCACGAATTGTGGCACCTTACAATGAGAATTTGAAATACCATATCCTTTATAAGGCCCACGACACCCCCTCTTAGTGGTCATCTCGGTCGTGAGAAGACGTACAGCTCGGCGAGCTGTTACTACTGGTGGCCCAAGCTACGAGCACTTATAAGCGCACGTGTGAGACGTGTCAGGGGGCGAGACCCTCTTCGAATGCGGCGGTGCCGCTGGCCAGCTAACTGGTACCCTTCGGATGTTGGCACTACATAAGTATGGACTTTGGGTTTAGCTTGCAGACGGAATTCGCAGGCAACACGGATGGGCTGGTCTTTGTGAGCCGTTTGAGCAAGATGGCATATCTTGCGGCAGTACTGGACATCATCGACGGTCTAGGTGTAGCGACGCTGTTAAAAAAGTTTGCTCCAAACAAAGCTGTGCATTTATCGGCCGGTTACACGCCGTTCTACGAGAACGGGCTTGTTGATCCTCGCGTCCCGCTGACGTCGCCATCTTATGGCTCAGGGCTTGGTGAAGAGGAACAGCCGAGCGACTAGCTGATACCAACCCCTTTACTGTCTGTAAGGAAGTCGATGACTTCCTGTCTACCAGACTGAGTGTTTGCGATGCGATGGCTGACATCCAGGACATGCAGACAGAGTATGCAGATGGTAGAAGCAGAAAAATGAGGAACACTTTAAATTTGGAGTCCTGATTTTAATAAATGCTAAAAAAAATGCAGAATCTGCTGCCTTAAAGAAGCTCTGTTCACGATTTATTGGACCTTTTCAGTTCGTGGTCAAGCGAGCCTTGAATATATGCTATACCTTCAGAGGAGGATGCGCACCACCCGGTGTTTTATGTGGGCTTGCTTAAGCTGTACCGGGATCCGGCGCAAGTGAATGCGGAGTGTTGGTACCGGGATGGCACTCACAGGAGCCCGGTCACGCAGGAGCTGAACCGGCAACTGGTTCTGAGCACATAGTGCAACAACTTACGTTTCCAACGGCGCAAAGCGCTCGACCGTCGCACGACGCGACATATTTGTCTGCTCAACGACTAGGAGCCAATAATCTCCGAGGCGAAGCAGTCGGTGCACAAAGTGCTCCAGACTTTTGATATCTTCCGCACAGCGGTGTGCCCCTCAGCAGAGTGCCGATAACGACGGATGTTGTCCTCCAACGCTCGAAGAGTATCGCGAATCACTGGCGTCGATCGACTTAGTCCTCTTCGCCCGCCACCGACTCTTTTCATTGAAAAGGGTGGCGTCCACCACCACGTGGACCGCATTGTGG